ACATTTGGTAAATTACAAAAATTTAAAGCAACTTCGCTACGCACATTTATTTAATTTATATAACGTACATTTCCTTGCCACTGTTCATATTAATTGTTTCATTTATTAAATGTGCTTTATTACTATTTCCTATTAAATCACTCAAAATAATTAAAAATTAGCAAAAGAAAGAAAAACAGATGAAAGATAGTAATTTAGGAAACTGTATTGCATATTTTTAGACTAAATTCAGAATCATATAAATAACATTTATGTCACCTAATTTACATTGCAATATCGAATAATGAAAACACTGTACAAGAAAAGTAAAAAAAGTTATAAAGTAAGTTGCATTAGCAATTTTAATACAGAAACTCTGTAAACAAGAAACATAACAAATACGGGGTCGTTGGTAACTGGTGGTACGGTGGTACTGGTGGTAAGTAGTGATTCTACGCGAAAAAAGAAGTCGAAAATATAGAATAAAAATTTTTCTTTTGAGGCTTCGTTTTCGAGAAAATCGACTTTGAATTTTCGCTCGGTACGCGTGCATTTTATTGCCGTCTCATTATAACGGATCTCACTGTAGATCGTTGTCTCAATGGAAAAATTAAAAAAAAAATTTTTTTTAATTTTTATTGTATATTTTCGATTTCTTTTTTCGCGTAGAATCACCCCCTTTCTGCTTGTACCACCACCCTGTATATTAATAAACATTCCCATTATAGGTATAAGAAGAGAAATCTTCTTAACCCCTTAACCTACAATTACGGGCATAGCCCGTAGTACGATGATCGGGCCAAACGTAAATATTACGGCCATTCTCGAACGTAAATCGTAGCTTAAGGGGTTAAGCCACAATAATAACAGAATAAGTAATGTGAACTGTCCTGCACAATTAAATTAATATTATCAGTGAAATTTTACAAATTGCAAATTATTTGCCACTTATTGGTATTAATGCATCATCTTGTATAGTAACTTTTTAAACAGATCACACGGTTTCTAAAATGATAAAACTCAACGTATGATTCCAACTAAGAATGGGGTCGTTGGTAACTGGTGGTACGGTGGTACTGGTGGTAAGTAGTGATTCTACGCGAAAAAAGAAGTCGAAAATATAGAATAAAAATTTTTCTTTTGAGGCTTCGTTTTCGAGAAAATCGACTTTGAATTTTCGCTCGGTACGCGTGCATTTTATTGCCGTCTCATTATAACGGATCTCACTGTAGATCGTTGTCTCAATGGAAAAATTAAAAAAAAAATTTTTTTTAATTTTTATTGTATATTTTCGATTTCTTTTTTCGCGTAGAATCACCCCCTTTCCGCTTGTACCACCACCCTGTATATTAATAAACATTCCCATTATAGGTATAAGAAGAGAAATCTTCTTAACCCCTTAACCTACAATTACGGGCATAGCCCGTAGTACGATGATCGGGCCAAACGTAAATATTACGGCCATTCTCGAACGTAAATCGTAGCTTAAGGGGTTAAGCCACAATAATAACAGAATAAGTAATGTGAACTGTCCTGCACAATTAAATTAATATTATCAGTGAAATTTTACAAATTGCAAATTATTTGCCACTTATTGGTATTAATGCATCATCTTGTATAGTAACTTTTTAAACAGATCACACGGTTTCTAAAATGATAAAACTCAACGTATGATTCCAACTAAGAATATGCTTCGCTAGTAATGTTTATGCATTTATAGAAAATTTAAAGATACAAAACCACGCAGAACGTATCAAATATACAAAAGTATATGAAATGTCCAAAGTATAATATAAGTATACTTTATAATATAAGGTGAACGAAACAAATTTCTATTTAGATTCTATTTCCTTATTTATATTTATAGAGATATGAATTTGCAAAAACATTCACCGTCCACTGATAACCTGTTATAATGATTAATGCGAGTATAAATAACCAACTAAAAAAAGAAAGAAAATAATCTGTCATATGTTTATTAAAACGTGTAAATAAGAATACACATAAAGTAAAAATAATAATAAAACGCGTTAAGTTGAACATTAACGTGAAAAGTTACTGTGCACACTATGACAGGAAGCAAATATTCCAATATAAGGCAGGCATGAAACCCAATAGTACAAGTAATGAATGGACATATTGATTCATTTGTTGGTGGGTTCTCATTTGGATAGCAATAGTACGTTACACGATACAACTGGTGGACAGCACTTGCAGTGCATTCGGTTGCGGTATGATCAGCCACTTGGTAGTACGAAATATACATGTATATTATTGTACATGTGTATTCGACGCAACGGTCCAGTGCATATTTCTCGTATTAGCTTTATCCACGCATGGCCATGCACTACAAGTAACATTAGTGCATCTTGTCTTCCGCAAAATTACTATAATGCGCGCGAAATGTCTGAGTTTCACTGCGAATTTCTACCATGTAGTGTAAAATTAAGCATGTACCGTGTGAAATCGTGGAAAATGCACGAAATCGAGACAAAAAGATGAATAAATGAATGTCAGATTTTATCTCGATTAAATTGTTAAAGCGATTATTATAACTCGTTTTTTATTCCTATTCGAGCATATTGTTTATTGTTTATCATTTAATTACTTATAAATTTTGCATTTAATATTTATATTGTAAAATATTTTATTGACCGTTTAACATTCATCTTTTATAAATTTTATATTATAAAATGATATTATAAAATATTTTCTTACCGTTTATAAAGTTATTACATTTTTAAAGGGCGATTAAAAAATTGTATATTTATAATTGTATAAAAATAATTGATACAAAGTAGCAATAATGAATTGTTTTATTACTTATATTTACATAATAATATAGTTTTATATAAATTCCAGTTATGTATAAATCCCAATATGTTATTGTTATCAAAAGTTACTGTAGAATTCCATAAACTGAAATACTATCTATTCGAGTATATTATTTTAAAACTTACATTCAGAGTTTTATTTTATTATTTTCCTAGTCACAATATGTACTTTGAATAAAGATAAGTAATTTCTATAATATATTCAAGAAAACGTTTAAGTATCTGATAATAAAAAGAAATTCAGTTATAACAAAGGTATTACGTACAGATATTAATGCATTCCCGCAAACTAGTGTTTAAGACTATATTAATCTGAAGAATACATTTCATACACGATACTTTATATGCGGCAAATTCTTAAAATAAAGATATGGTATGATAGATATAAAAATACAATAACAACAATATGAATTCCTAATTTTCTAAATTTCTCAGATTTATATTTCGACATTTACAAATTTTTAATTCTATCATTTCTTTCAATGTGAGACTACCTCAAAGTGCAACTTAATGAAATCGATTCTCTTTGAAGCGTAAGGATGATTTGGAAAAAAAGACAGGATGGTGCACAACTTGCGGAAGAATTGCGTATTTGTTTGTTGAAATTCCATTACAGATTGGTGGTAGAACTAATGGTTGAAGTTAGGCAAATTGCTGAGGGTGGACACTCGAATTTCTTGATTTAGTATTTGAGAAAGCGAGGGGTGTCGAGCATAGAATGTACCAAAGTTAAACTTCAGTTTTAATTCGCGGAGATTAAAGTCAGCCGAACGCAAATGTTCGTCCACGCCACGGCAATTAAACTTTAAGTGGCTAATTCCACCGTAGACACTGGCTAAAAGCATCACCAAGGCAAAGGGAGGTTGACAATAGCTGCGAGCACTCACGCCCTCGTGAAACGCGCGTATTACATGACCAAACCTCGGCGCAACAATCTGTTTCGAGCCAACAAAAACCACTTTTTCCCCTTCTTCTTTACATACCTGTGCCACATTAAGTCTAGACTTCAGACTCTAGGCCCTAAAGCTATTATGCCAACGGTCCTTTGACCGCGTGAAGATTGTTACTCTTTCTCTGTCGACTCTTGGCCGGCAAACAGCCACTCACTTAGGAAACTAGCACAATAGGCACCGGCGAACGACTCGAGTCATGTCGAATCACAGAAAACGCTAGGCCTGAAGGTAGACGTCCAATTAGCCGTTTTGTCGGGACGAAAAATGTGCGACCACGGAGATTTCGTCACGAACAAGAAGTCAAGGAGGATGAAGAGGAGGCAATAATTCGTCGATGACGTCGCCACGGTCTCGGACGTCAAGGATCGGGGGGATGCGACTTAAATATGCGAAAGCAAAGTCGATTCGGCGCGTTATACACGCTCGAGCGGACGATTAAGCGATGCGCAATGTTTTATTTAATGTTGAGGGCGAAACGGAAGTAATTATAGCTCCTCGAAGCGTAAAGGAAAGTCCTAAGGAAGGAAGAGAGATGGTGGATGGTTATAGCCAGCGGGCCGAGAAACCAACGGAATCCAAGAGTGTACAAGGAGAAAGGGTCGAAAAGAGAGAGAGAGGGAGGGAGGGAGGGAGGGAGGGAGGGAGAGGGAGAGACTGGTCACATATCAGGCAGCGATAAGCCTTGAGGTGACTGGGCGCAACATCAGCGTATTCGACTAACAGTTTGCAGGCGATAAGATAATAAAGCGCGCCGAGTTTAAAGAAATGAAATAGTATGCTATATTTACAAAAATTCCGCGTCGTTGAGTTTTCCTTAGTTAGAAACGATCATCGATTATTTAAACTATCACTAAAGATTCGATGGCTTTATAGTTGTGTTGTTGCGCTGCAACATAATTCTTCGATCTTAATAGATTTCTTTATAGATAGAACAGAACAGAAATCCTTGAATATCGAATCATAGATTTTTCAAAGCGTGAGTTGCGAGCTAATTTTAGGTAGAATTAAATATTAAAATATAGGATTAGTTTATATGTCCATTAGATGAGTTTTTCCGGTCGGAAACCGTCGGATAAATAACTGAAAGTCGAGTTAGAAATCACATGAAAATTACTATTTCTCTATATTTTCTCTTAGCTCACATATCTATATCAAATCAATTCTCGACGACAATCACGCTTCGCGTAATTTTCGAGCGAGTTGTTAAAAATCACGACTTTCGAAAGTGGTCTCGGTCTATAAAAATTTGAAAAGATTTATACAACACTTTTCAAAATCATGTCCAAATATTTACGAATCTTGACCTGAAAATTTTCCGCTCTTCAAAAATTTATAATCAATTTTCTCACGTCGAAATTCATTAACATTTATAACATCCCTGTAACATCTAGTTGGGAAACAGAATTTTTAACGTTCCAATATCTCGCAGTATGGTTTATCCCTTTCACAGCGAAATTTTCCATCAATCAACAGAATTTCACTCGGCTTCACTCCCAAAGGTGTGAATAGAGAAATCGCGTGATACAACACGATGCTCTTTTTTGCAAAATTCCTGGTGCAGAACTTGTACGGGCATCTGTCGTGTATCTGTTTGAAAATGAACAACAATGAAAGACGTAAAACATCGCGACGTAGTTTTATGTTCGCGAGTATGGTCGTACAACGACGACAAAGAGTCACGAGACTGCGAATAATTCGTGGACTAGACTTATTTGCGGTATAAAATAAGCGCCGTTCCGCGAGGAGGGATACAAACGACGATAAAGCCGAATTTACAGGGAAATAGCTGTCGAACAGCGGTTTTTCACGCTAGAAAAGATTTAAACGATCTTGTTGTAACGTTCTTCGGCAGTCACGTCCTGACAGGCGTATTTCTATCAGTCATTGTGAAAGAAGAGTAGCAAACTGATTCCGGATCGTTTCAGCTTCGAATTATAGGCTTGGATTATTGGAAGTTTGCTTTGCTTCGAATTATTTTGTACTTCTTGCGATCAAACGTGCTGTTTATGTTCGAGAATTTTGGGCCGAAAATGTAAACAAGCTATTATACAGGGTGGTTGGTTACTGCTGGTACAAGCGGAAAGGGGGTGAATCTATGCAAACAAAGAAGTCGAAAATATAGAATAAAATTTTTTTTTTTAATTTTTCCATCGAGACAACGATGTATAGTGAGATCCGTTATAACGAGACGTGATAAAGTGCACGCGTACCGAGCGAAAATTCAAAGTCGATTTTCTCGAAAACGAAGCCTCAAACGAAAATATTACAAACTATGCTGTTGTATGAAACTTGTATTGTTCTGAGTCGAAAATGTTTGTGGAATGTCAACAAAGACTTTTGGCATCAATGACGCAGTTTAGTGATAACTACATTATCAGCTCGGGCCATCTATAGGCAAATTCCGGTCCCATACTTACAGACATGATATATTATATGTTGGGTTTGTCGGGTTGGCGTTAATCTTTGGGGCGCGTTGCGTATCTTCATCAGGACAAGCCATCGTAATTGTTCAATGGAGATTATATTTACAATTGTATGTACAAGTATTGATTTAACAGGGTTTAACAATTAATCGTGGTAATTAGACATTCTCAATGTAAAGACAATGTACTTAGATTCAACAACGAATCCACGGTCAACGGGGGAAACTCTTTGTTCAATAGAATATATTTTGAAACACAAAGTGACGTTAGCTGTGACGCTCGGTATCTTTCTGACTGACTGATAAGACGATGTGTGTAAACTCTCCAAGGTGATCACAAGAATAAAAGACTGATACGATCGCATTTGTCAATTGCATATTGACCAGGGTTATCGACAAAATTCCAGACGCCGTTACTAAGCAGACCCGCGTAGAGTCGACATTGCCCCTGCCCGGAGCTTGTTTGTTAATACAGCGTGTGTTCTTCGATATTGGTACTTCTTCTGTTAGGTAAAAACGTTCATCCCGTGACCGTGGCTACGTTCAGCGATTAGTTGTGTCACCTCGAGCCCAAGCCCACTGTCGCAAATCTCGGGCAAACATAATCAGATCGCATCTCAACAACTACTTCTAAGTTCTAATATTTAAGTACAGTTATAATAAATAGTTTAGACCAAAGTATCGGGGATCTTTCCAAAATTCCAAAAGAAAGGCCTGATGTCCCTATATCTCCGACATATATATTATATTTGGCCCGATCATCGTAGTACGGGCTATGCCCGTAATATTTACGTTTGGTCCGATAATTAAGGGGTTAATCACGTTGAAGATAAATTTGTATGTATCGTGTTAATTAGAAAGGCTAAATGGTTGGGCAAAGTTTGGACAAGTATGTACAATAGTTCACGAAAGTATTGAACACTTGTATTTGGTATGAATGTTATAAATACTATACGTGTATTATACGAAACATTTTAAACGAATGTATGTGGACGTTACAAATTATTTATTGCAAGCATACATTTTGCTGATTATCAAAAAATTTAAATTGTATGTAATTCTTTGTATTAGTAAGCCTCAATAATTTTACTAAGAACATCTTTAACACTAATTGAATATTTAAGGGCATGTAGGTTAATATTCCAACGTTGTTATATTAACTTTCTATCAAGTTTACATTTACAATATGTGTCTTGTAACTTTTATACATACTTTCGAATTAATTTTAAATTTTATCAACATAATCACGATAATCCTACCTTGTCGCAGTGCTAATGAAATTTCAAAATGTTTCGTATAATATAGATACTATATACATGCATAAAAATTGTTTATATATTCGAATACTTTCGTGCTGGGTATAGCTTATTGGAAAAATGTAGAAGATTAACGATTTGCAAACTAAATAACACAAATGTAGCATAAAACGTTTGTATCCAATTTCGATTAGAAACTTAAAGAAACGTAGGGACATTTGTAGAAAAAGGAAAATGTTTCATTTCAATGAAATTAAAATATTATAAATTAACACAAGCGGTATACAAAATAGTCACGTATAGTACAAAAAATACATGCAAATTTTTCTTTTCGCATCTTTGCAATCACATCAACACGTTCTCTTCAATTTACTTGATTATTATTTCCATACAAATGGAATTAAATTAGTAAATAAATATACAAATATTTATTAAAAAATTATAACCAGTGACGATTTTGAGCAACTAAAGGGTCAGTCTTGTGAATTAGCATATTATTTGTATGACACAATAATAAAGATTGACTTTAGACGATTTTTTGAACGAACTTTGCAATGTACAATTTATTACATATATCACAAATATTGTTGAAACGCCAAAAATCTACGATTAAAAGCATACGTACCTTAGGATTAATTTTTAAGAAACCAAGGTTAAATAATTATGAGGATGAAATAGGGTATTTTTCAAAATTAGGAGTCAAATCCGGTAATTTTTCCATATTAAAGTAGTAGTTACTTTAAAGATTACAGTTTTCTACAAAGAATAAAATTATATTCACAATGAAAAATGAATTTAAAATTAAAACTGCAACTCGCAAAAATATTTTTCCTTCTGCTCGTTAAATGGAAATTTTTGTGGTTCTATTTCAGAGTAGCATCTGGTTTGATATTCTTCCTGGAGATTACCTGGGCCATCACGCTCTTCGTACAGATCTGCGTCAGGTATACATATTTAACTTTATAAAGCATACTTCTATATTCTATTACCATTAAAATAAAAAATAATATATAATGATTAATATATTGGATAATATTATACTTATATTTGGGTATATTTAAAAATACATATATGTGAAAAATGTATTGTTGTATAGGGCATGTATTTCAAAATACATTGAAAAATTTCAACTTTCAAATTTCAAATAGAAATTAATATTATTTAATTATGTGTGCGTGAAAAATGGGATTTAAAAAATTTTAAACTCCTCACATACCTAATTTACATATTTTTATCAAATTTTCGTCATATTATTTCTATTTTATAATGTTAATGTTATTGTTACTGTTGACTGCGGATATTTATGCAAATTTATATTCATTTGAATTCGATAAAATAAATGAAATCTAAGCAGAGGTTTGTTTCATACACTAAATATTATAACGTGTACTATGCTTTACATATTTTATATATTTTTACATATATTCGCAGCTTTAAATTCCTCAAAATAAAATTAAATGAATATCCGCAGTTTATTCATTATATTTTTTTTATTTTATCCAATTTTTTCAATTTCAAATATTTTCCAATTTCCAACATACCTACAACAATTCGAACATGACCAATTTTTTCACACTTCTTTATGAGAATTCTATAGTTTCTTTCAAATAAATCACGTGTTATCCCGACCCACCTATTTCTTTTCACTCTTGTGTTCTCTCATTGTCTATTGAGAATACTTCAGCCGAATCTCATTGATTTTCTAATACCATTCGAGATATTCCAATAAACGCAAAAACATCGACGAAATCGAGCAACTATCTGCAAACGAGAATACGAAGATACGAAGAAAAAGTACTTTCTACTAGGCAGAGAGCAAGAGAGGGAGACGAGAAGCAGACTGTTAATTACCAGGTCGGAACTTTGTCCCAATTTTCTCGACGTTCGATCGCGAATTCGCTCGATGTGTAAAGACTGGCCGAAGAATTCGAAGGGCGAACGAGGAAGATATGCAAGAACGCGTTAGAGGGATTGAGGATTGTGAAGTCACTAGAAGTCTAGTCTCATCAAGGCCGAGGGACTACAGCGAAAAAGCAGTTTCTAAAGGAAGAAGTGATTTTATTGGCGAACCAACTTCCGGCAATCTATCTCGACTCGACACTACTGCTTTCGGGAGTTTATATCTTTGTCGATTAAAAGGGAACGGTGGTTCGAATGTCGGTCTTCAAGGTCTTCTTACTACGACCAATGAAAATGAGATGCTTTATGCCGCGTACGCGGACAATTTTTCTTTCTCTTCTTTATTTGTCCGCCGATGGCATCCCTTGAATGACGATTCAAAGGGTGGTTCGTTTCTCCCGGGTTGAATAATAGTAATTATTCTGAGATATTATTTTATTATGAGTGTCGATTCTTATGTATTCATAGGAAATTTAAAGGTGCAAGAAGTCACACAAAATCCATATAGTACGTAAAAATATATAAGTTATTCAAAGCAGAGTATCCCTTAGAATATTTAATGGACGAAAGAATGTTTTCACTAGTTTGTTCTGAATTACATACATAAAACTGTAAATTCGCAATTTTGTTAATTATATTTGTAAAAATATGGAATTACATAATACTACGAGATTCGTATTTTGGAGAAATACCTAAACTTATTTGTAGGATGGATTTCTACAAGGCTTTGCATAATAATTTGTCAAGTTTTAATAAAATAAATTAGAGAAACTTATAGAGAATTTGTTATCGAGAAAGTAGAAAATTTAATAATTTAGGAAGTAGAAAAATTCGAAAAGATTTCGGATTTTAAACGTAATATCGTGTTGTAAATATATTTCGATGAAAATACCATACGTCTCTTTATCATTTAAAATTAATATGTACTTTAAACAAAGTTGAAAAAAGCTGTAAATACAGTGAATAGTAAGACTAATAAAATAATATCAAGTTTTTCGTAATACAAAAGGTAAAAAACTTTCTTATACGAAAAATATTGCTGTTTGATTATTAATTTAATTATTGGGATCAAAAAATGATTTATACATATACTTCTTTATCAATTAGAATTAACATTTAAAATGGAGTTAAAAACAGTTGTACAATATATAGGCAATAGCATAAACATAGCAGGACCGTGATAACGATTAACAATTAATTGCATAAATATTTTTACATGATATTGTAATTAAATAATTCGAATTATATTATTTGATATAGACAATTTAAAATGATTTTAAATAATAACAATTATATTAAAATTACATTTGTATGTCTTCCTAAGAAAAAATCAGTCTAAAATAAAAACTGAATAGGGTGTACATATTGTATAGATACATATCTTTGAAACATATATACAGGGTGGTTGGTAACTGGTGGTACAAGCGGAAACGGGTTGATTCTACGCGAAAAAAGAAGTCGAAAATATAAAATAAAAATTTTTCGTTTGAGACTTTGTTTTCGAGAAAATCGACTTTGAATTTTCGCTCGGTACGCGTGCACTTTATCGCGTCTCGTTATAACGGGTCTCACTGTAGATCGTTGTCTCGATGGAAAAATGAAAAAAAAAAAATTAAAAAAGAATTTTTATTCTATATTTTCGACTTCTTTTTTCGCGTAGAATCACCCCCTTTCCGCTTGTACCACCAGTTACCAACCACCCTGTATAGTAAGATTAAACAATAAATATGTTAGTACATATATATAGTTTAGCATACAAAAAATGTTAACGTTCTATTATTATCATTTTTATGGATTTCCTTTTAATTTACGAGGGACGTTTCAATTAACACATTCAATGCGGCACATAAAATAGGAAAGAGCCCCTAGTGGCGGAAGTCCATTTTTCTTCTATCCATTTATCCAGACGTCATCTGCAAGAAAATAAGGAATCGCGATAACGCGTATTTACGTCTTCGGTTTCGATTTCCAGTACTTTCATTACTCGTTACATACAGTAATGTATCTAAATTCAAGTTTTTGTGATGTATACTGAATATGTATATTGAAATATATTTAAATACGATATGAACTATTTAAAATTTTTAAGTATGACAATTAGAACTTTGTACTTTATCAAATATACCAAGTTTTTACTATTTCTACTGCTATTTAACTCATCCTTATGTTAGATTATTTAGTAATTATTTATTAATTAGATCTAATTCTTAATTTTTATTTTTAAAAATATGTTGTTAGCATACTAAAAGAAAATATAAAGGAGGAAATTTGTATTTTCAAAAAGTATATACGACAGGAATCTTTAAATGAAATAATTTTTGTTAATTAAGTATAATTAAAATTCAAGATCAATATATCTATACGTTTCATGTATACAACTTTTAAAAAAATCCACATGTATAATATTTTTTACAATATTTTAAATATATACTTATAGATAAAGAATTATAGTGCAAATATTTGCTTGAAACATTGTCAATATAGAAAAAGACCGTCCGAGTTAGAGCAAATTAACAATCGAAAAGCGGTTATCTTGCATATTATTAGTACAAAATTATGTAATTTTTCATTACCTACAAGTTTGCTTTCTGAATTTATTGAATTTTCTACAAAATATTAGAATTTAACTTTGCATCATATCTGAACAGCAATGTGTTAATATCACAAAGGAAAATATCATTTTCAATTGCACCATAAATTAGAATCTATAAAACAATACTCAAACGAAACTTATAAAATGATACTGGAAGAACTTTCTCAAGAATTTCATATAAACCATATATTACATGAAAGCTTATATTCCTCTAAAACAGTACAATTAAAAAATAAATTTAAATTTCCATATGATATACATCATATAAATTTTCATATAAATTAATTTATTCTCTATTATACTTTTATATTTAACATTCTTACTCAAATAAATACACTTATTCTATATTAAATTTAATCGCAAACAACATTTATATCAGCACAGTTTATTGCTTCCATAAATCTAATTTGCAAAGACATAATTCTTGTCGAAAATGACACGTAGTTCTATAACGCCGTCTACATATTTTGTTTCAGAAATGACGAGTCTCTTTGCTCGTGCTACTGGTCGGCAGTGGTGGCGATAACGAGGGGTTGGCGAAGAGCATTGTTTTATCTACCACTATCCTGTATTTTGGCATGGAAACCGCACAGTCTTCGGTTGTCCTATGTCGCGGGTAACTGGACAAACTAAATGTTTAAATATTTTCCGTATACATTTCGTTGCAGTTGAAATCTTTGAATTGTCTAAAACGATTCACATTATTGTAATGATTGATATTTCGCACATTTCCCTGTTATGTTTTCCACTTTCTGGTCATTAATGTCATGGGTCATATTAATTTTTAATCAGTTTCGGGTAACGTATTGATGAGATTTGAACATTGCTTTATTAAAGGAAATTATATTACCCGGAAATCATACTGTGTTGTCGAAATGTTTGTTTTTTTGTCTTCTACAAGAACAGTTAACTATAATTAAAATGAAGTTTGAGCTATTGGCAAATAATTTTCAATTTTTGTATTTTATTCTACGGGGTGGTTGATAACTGGTGGTACAAGTGGAAAGGGGGTGATTCTACGCGAAAAAAGAAGTCGAAAATATACAATAAACATTTTTCGTTCGAGGCTTTGTTTTCGAGAAAATCGACTTTGAATTTTCGCTCGGTACGCGTGCACTTTATCGCGTCTCGTTATAACGGATCTCACTGTAGATCGTTGTCTCGATGGCAAATTTAAAAAAAAAGAAAAAAAAATTTTTGTTCTATATTTTCGTCTTCTTTTTTCGCGCAGAATCACCCCCTTTCCACTTGTACCAACCACCCCGTAGAATAAAACACAAAAATTGAAAATTTCGAGTGATTTTGTAATTATGAAACACAGTGTATCATGGTGGTTAATGAGACTGTAAACAATCGATTAAAAAATAAGAAAAAATAACTTTTAAATTACCCTTATCGGCAACATAGCAACGTTCTGTGTCCTGGTAAGAGTAAAGGTATTCAACGAGATGTTGAAAGGAACCTGGCAAGAATTTAATGCAAAGTAACAACATCGAAAGCAGATGAAAAAAATATTTCTCGTTATTTTCCTTTTGTTGTTATATCCGCAGCCGGACTTTTGGCAGTGCTATCCTTGCTGCATATTGCGTCCAGTGCTTTGGTGGGCCGTGGTTCCTGCCAGATGAGTAATGCCATGGATTCGGTTGGCGAAAGTCTTCTAAGTACTAGGCCCGAAAACTATGATCGCTTCGAAGAAGTTCTGGTAAGTGAATGAGGTAAACACGTAAGTTTCTGCCCTTTGCATTAGGAGATTGAAATTGAAAATCCTGGAGTCACTATCGTGGAAATGTAATTTAATATCATTACAAATATTACTATAGACGTGGCTAATTTTTTCATTGTTCTAGTAATGCCATCCTACACATCATTTGAATCAAACATTTATTCTAAACTGAAGACACGAAGTATTCAAAAATACGAAATTCTTAAGTAATATCAATGAAAATAACAATATATATAACAATATAATAAACAATGGTAAAGACTGTATAAGAATAAAAAGTTAAGAAAAATTAAGAAATTATAAGTATATTAACTATATTATAAATATATTATTTCAAAAATGGAACAGATTTTTGAAACTTTTTAGCATTTAACGCGAAGAAAATGTAATGTAATGTTAATTTAATGTGGAATTTAATGTGATTGATCTTTTGTTATTATTTACTTTTAAGGTGTTTACTTCTGTTTTTACTATTAGAAAACAATTTCAATATCGCTGTTACTACACAGATATTTCATTAGATACAAAGTTTTATACACCATTCCTATTCTGTTGATAAAATTTTAATAACATGAAGATAGGAAAAGAGAAAACAAATGGCCACGTTCCAAGAGATTAGAAAAAGACATAAAAGGACTTTAACTTAACTTTAACTTAAATGTATCATTGTCTCGTTCGGATAACCAATTCAATGAACCTTCATTCAGGCATTGTTTAGGTTAACAAGATGGCGTTTCAGATAGATATCTTTTAATTTTTTAATATTTACAATATATCGTGGCTTATATTAAAGGTGTATTCTTTAGCAATAATGGTCGGATTTTCTGCACTGAACGTGTTTTCTAAGAAACTTTGAAATTGGTCGTAATTTAATATGAAACCGTTATCAATTTTATTACTCAATTTTATCTGTTAGGCTTAAACATATCATCCATTTTTTCTAAAACTATTTAATAATTGATTACGTTTGGGTTTCTTGTTACTTTTAACATAATAATGTTCTCTGCTTTTTATAATAGTATTATTCTTAATCAGAGGATACCGATTTTCCATTATTGGAATTGTCAATAGAGATTTTAGAAGATATGAATAAAATTCTTTTGTCCCAAGATGCTCCGATTTTCCACTCGTAGATTCTAAAAACTTACTGCCGTGGTAGATCTGACGCTCCTATTATCGATAATATCATTATTGCTGTTATTGTTAATGACAGAGTTGAAAGCTGTGACATTGCCGCTTGAAGCAGTAAGATTATCGCTAGCTGATTAATTTTGAGATCTTTTTTTCATTCTTAGACTGTAAACATTTTTACATATTCTGAAACTGTAAACGTAGATTTTCTCGTGTTTGACGCATTTTTCAGTAGGTAATTCTTGTTAAAAAAATCCCCCAAAATTTATATAACATCTTCAGATATCCTAAATTAAGGTTATCCTAAAACTTTTGCAAAATACTTTATTCAAATACATCTTATTGTAAAGGATACAAAGTAAAACATATAAAATACATTGGTATGGATAAACAATTATAATTTTTAAATGAATTATTATAAACTAAAAATCTATCGGTAAATTAATATGTTTAAGGATCATGCTTTCATAAGAAAGAAGTATGTCGCATTTATTCATTCAAATTAAATGCTTGGATTTGCGGCTTACAGAACCGTAAATTTTAAAGGTACCCTAAATAAACAAATGTTTAATGTTCAAATAGAAATGTTTGATTATAAACTGTTGTTATTTCTATACTCAGAGGTAGGATCACAATAGTTATTATTTTATTGAATGGATAAATCCATCACATCGTTGTGAGCGAAAAAAACCTTTATTGCACGCGCTTACGAAAACTAGGGATAAAAACAAAAAAGCATCTTAAGCCTATCGATTAAATCTATCGATTGTAGCTAGGATTATCTTCTAGTTATTATTTCTTACAACTAACGCATCTGCATATGGATGGCGAGCACAAATTCACGTTGTCATTTTCAACATAAACGTTGATGCAAAAAATATAAATAGTAATTGTAATAATCTATAGGTAAATTTAATCACAATATAAATTTGTCAACGAAACTATTTACCTACATGAAATGTATAGGTAAAGTGTAAACGTTGGTATTCTGCGTCCTCTGTAGGTTTCACTTCACATGTTTGACGATAAACTGATGCATATATCTATTCTTGTAAACATAGGTTTTCATACCCAATAACCTTTTTAGACAAAAAAAGATGCAAAGACGTTTTCTACCTGCTATCTTGTGAGAAACTTAGCGATGAAATACCTATCTTTACAGTTTAAGGATTAACAATACATTGTTTTACTACATCGTCTTCTTCTTGCATAGAAAATGGCCAACTTTTTCCGTAGATATAAATATACGGTGCTGTGTATTATCGTGCTTAATTAAAAAAAATTCTAGGATTTTTTATGTTTCTTGGATATATAATTTGGAATTAGATATGTAATTGTTTCCTAAAATTTAAGATTTGATTGATGTTGAGTTCTTGGATAGTTGCTCTTAGAAAGGTAAGCTTAGAGGTAATTTTGATATTCCTTTTCGCGAAAAATTTTGGATTTTGATGGCCATATGTACATTCCATGCTTTAGGTTAATAGTGAAAAATTTATCAATCTGAATCAAATTGATCAAATAGTGCGATAAAACGTATCAAATATTTAGAAATTGCAAGTCACTTTTCGCAATATGCCACTAATATAAATACGTAGAGACGCACAGAGATGTTAAACGAAAATATGTCCAGATTGTCATTATTTTGTTAATCAATTTATTGAGAAAAGAATAATGGTTAGAAAACAGCATGAATTAATCTTTTTCATTATCAGTTTATTAAACAACTTATTCACTGAAGAATGCTAGAGAAACTTAAATTTTAAATAAACTTAATTTTCTAGTCACTATATTAGCATTAATTTCCTTACTATAATTTAGTAGCTTCACGTAATAATATCTATTTTTTATTTTACATTTTTACAAAAATTTGTTATTACTTTTATTTTATTTTACTTTACTTCATTTTATCTTTATTCTCATAGACTGCGCAATGAATTCCATATAGAATATAAAAAAGGAAGTTACAAACAAGTGTTTAATATGTATACGTTTTGCTAATTTGTCTCCAATATAATTAATTCTTGAAGGTTATAATATAAAATTCAACAGTTGTTTTTCTAATTGTACGTTAGTAATATTAAAATTGCAATCCAAGTATCACTTAAATTCGTAAATTGTATTTCTTGCATATGTTAAAATTTAATATAGATTACATAAATAGGATTTTTTACTATTGCCATAAAACACTAGTTACTGACATTAATCTAAACATTAATTAGGTCTAGGTAAATCTGAAAGCGCTGGATTAATTTATGTATCTAGTAAAAGATATATTAGTTAGAAGTACAACACTAAATATCAAAAATGGAAGTTTATATTTGTAGTTTGGTGCAAGAAGTGCCAATTTATAAAGTTGAGATTAGCACTTAAATATGTTAAAAAATTAATGTACGGATAATCTCTGTTATTTCACTTTTTCTTTCCAATACAACAGGAGAGAATTAAGACTTCTGCTATTTGTGTTTTTATGTTCATTTTGGCATTTTTTGTGGAAGATTTATTTTATGAAAGATTTTGACATTAGCGTATACAAATGCCATTACAGTCATTTCTAGATAAGATTTGAAATTGTCGTTTTTTATATATAATACACAATTGTTTATAAACTCAATACCGCAATTAGCTCATTTCTGCAAAAATACGACATAGACGCTTCTTGCATCAAGCCACAGGTATAAAAAATATTTATAAATAAATTCGATAGAAATTTCTCTAACTGAACCTTATTTTGAAGATATTTTATTACATTTTATGTCATTGCGTAGTGAGACACTTCTAATAATTATTATTTTAAAAAAATTAAGCACTTTCAGTAACAGAATAAAGAAAAAAGTAAAAATTAAATTACTAACAAATTTTTATAACAATTTGAATAATTGTAATATTAGAACAAAATCTAGAGATACAGTACTGGACAAAATTATGACACTTTACATAAATATTTGTATACTGGACCTATTTACACATAAGACAAACAAAGCAATAATGTTAGTAGCCTTAAGTATAACTCACAGATTATCTAGCACGTTTGTTGTCCATATAATGACTGTTCGGAATCTCACGGCTCAATAAGAGTATTTTTATGTTACGTATTATCTGCACAATGGACATACAAAATTTCCTCATATTATATACAAAAGTTAGGGAAAAAGATGTATGCAAATTGGAACTGACTTTGGTTGGACAAAATTATAAGGTACTTGACTAATTTTCCATCCTTATTTCTGCGACGGCACTCGACACCAAGTAGTGTCGGACGACGACAGCGCAGTGGTTAGCGCCTTAGGTTACCAACGTTCGGGACTCGGGTTCAAAAATCCCGGCAAAAATGAGAAGAAAAACAGCACAGTACCCTCAGCAGCGACGACATCTTCTACACTCGCAGCAGAACCTATCCCTGCTACTATTCCAGCAGTAGTGGCGCACTATCATCGCAACTAACCACTACAAACATGTATCCCTCATTTCTATCAGTAATTATTCGATTGCGAGTAGATACAGAAACGGAAATCTATAATTTATTCATGATATTTAATGCAATTATTTAAAAGAAAAAAATTTAATGGGTCGAAGAAAATTTTCTAAAAAGTGAAGTTAACTAAATCGTTTTGTTACAGACAGAAAAGTATAGCAGAGTTTCGAAATTGTTAAATATGTGTGGTGTGCAGTCTATGTACATTGTATTAAAAACTTGAGAAAATTAGATTACGAGAGAGAAAAGGGTATAATAAAATTGTGAAATTATTAAATATGTTGTGCTCGGATTAAGGTTGGAATTTTGGGCGTTCGATGAACCTTTACTCAAATTTACCATCGCGGATATAGAGGCTACAAGTAATAGCGGCGATAGGATGGTCGAGATGCCGATGACGACGAATTCAGGTTCGACAACGAATCCACGGACCACGGGATTAAGTTAGAAAAATTACCAAATGTCCAGCTGGACAAATTGTAAAGTACAAATTAAATAATAAAAAAAAAAAATTCTAAAGAAAGGTCCCGATGTCCTTTCATCTGCGACATGTATATTGTATTAAAAACGCCAGGAGCTTATAGGAAAACTAAAAGGAATGAGAGACCTCCTGTTACACCCGAACGCTATAAACGAGCAGTTCTGCAGTTCTTACTTCGAATTTTAAAAGGAATGCGAAATAAATCGTCGTATTCTATAAGAAAGCGAATATATTAAACGCAAAAATTTGAATATTCCACTGGATCAAAAAATGGAAAAGTGCCATTTTTTACGATGAAAAAATATTCAAGTTGGACGGCCTTGTTGGATGGAGTTTATTTCCATGATCTCAACACGTTGAATACGGATAACTCCACGGTGATGTGATTGCTTTTAGAGGCAAATAATGCTACGTTTGCATTATCAACGTTCAGCGTGTTGAGAGAAAAAGAAATGTAGACTCTGAACGTATAGAAAGCGATAAGCGATAGGCGGTAAGCGATAAAATTACAATTTGGAGCATTTGACATTAGTGGCTGTGTCATTATTTGTTTTCTGCTTATGGCTTATCATTTACCGCTCTCTGTGTTCAAGGCTGAAGTTTCCATAAAATTTTGTTTTCATTTATTTATTAAAATTACAATCAATTCTCGCGTTGAGAATTTTCAGTAATTTTTCTGGCGTGGCGCAGTGACATGGCTGATTATTTATAATAAGTTAATACTTATTATAGATAAGTATAATTTATAAGTAAGTATTATAAATAAGTGAATATTACTTAATTTCCATCAAATAGGCGACGGCAATTTTAAAGAAACAGAAATAAATTTCTTACAATGTCACATGAAAAGCGACAAACAAAATAGCGCCGAGTGACTTGTAATTTTATTCAGCAAAAGTCAGTTCAGATTTACAATACTTCTTTCGCTAACTTTTTTGTTGCATACAAGCGTAATAAATAATATTCAATATATGTATAAAATGTACATTTTCCTCCTTTAAATATAAGATATCTTGTAATTTTGTTCAGTGCTGTGTATGATGAATAAAGACGATGCTGTTCATTATAATTTCAAGTATGGTTTCAAATGAAATAAAAATATATTAATGAGGTGCAAAAGTGCTGTCCGTGATAATTGTAGCTGCTGGCTGCAGATGTCGCTGCTGGGGTACTGCTGATTTTCTTCCGTTTTTGATGCGTAGAAGAAAAAAAAAACCCGGTCGCCGGGATTTAAACCCGGGTTCCGGACGTTCGTAACCTAAGGCGCTAACCACTGCGCTGCCGTCGTCCAATTTAGTGGTGGTATTTGCTGTTGAGTGCCGCCACATTAACATTCTCTATTTCTTTTAGTCTTCTCATTTGCCTAAATTATACAAGCATGTTGACATCAATATATTTGTGCATATTCAATAAGTCCTTTTCATTATTCCAATTGATATAAAATTCTAACATATTCTAACAAAAGATCTCTCAACATTTCACTTTGCTATGCAATTAATTATCATTTTGTAAAATAACGCAAATTGTTACGTACTTAAAACATCTTACGAAGGTAGACAATTTTTTTTAACTTCAGTTCTTCATATGTAAACGTATTTTGTAAAGGTAATGTTTGCTCGTGTACACCATATTTTACCGAGGTACCTATTGACTCTGTAACGTGTAACTACACAAGTTGCTCTATTGCTATATACTATACCACTAAGTTACTATTTCATTTATTTATTTGCGTTACATGAAGTAAAATATTTTTACTTTTCTAAAAAAAAGATATTTAAATATCTGAACTTGAAGAATAGAACAAAAGATGGTGTTTGTTCGACCAATCGCGGGGAGACGTAATCGCGAGGAGAGACGTCAACGGGGGTCGTAAATCCCCGTTACGATTATAACAATCGACACCACGAATCGATCGATCCCCTGATTTCCGTTGAGATAATAAGGGGTGATTGAGTTTGTATAACACTGTGATTCACAGAATTATAAATTATATATTTCCAACACTTAGATTACACTGATGAGCATAGATAGATAGATAATCACTTATTGCACGAAGATAAGATAGATATGTACGTTAGAGCAGGGCTCTTATAATTAGATTTAATGTATTAGTGGACGTAGCACTATAAGATATTTAGGAGAGGAAATGTATGCTCGACAATACCGAGACCGACTCTCGCGTTATGCTTAGACTGCCCCGATAGGCATTAGCGTTAGATTTAGTAGTTGACTTTTCCAACGATGTAGAAGAAGAAGTTGAGTGACGATGCTGCGTCGGAGGAAAACTAAGGATGGGTGTGTCTAGCGCACGGGACCGTCGGATATGTTGGTGACGATTTTAGTTAGGCGAGTGAGGGAATAGGCTTCGTTGTTAATTGGTTAAACGAAGGGTATTCACCGCCCTCGAGAGAAAGTGGTTAGTGGGAGGAAAGGTGCAGCATACGTGAGAAAAACTAACTTTCCCTTGTTAAGCCGTGGTAGACAATAGACTTTAGAAATTGATTTTAGAAATTCTTCGACGTTTGTTTGGGTTGGAGGACCTCTACTAGGAAATTCCTGAGAGTTATGGAAGATACTGAGGCTATTGAGGGCATGCCGTACGGAAGAGCGGACATCTGGTGTCCGTCTGGCCCGCGGTGTGTTACCTGGGCCAGGCAGAGGGTCGCCCGGCGTAACACAGGAAGTAACAGATGGAGTAGTTTAAGTAACAAAATGTTCAGTCTTTTTCAATCAATAAATATATATCTCTGAATACAAATTAACGATGAATTTAATAGTTTCAGCGATTTTATTATAACGATTATGCTTCGTAACTTTGGAGTCACAACGGCGTACAATGGTTACGCTGGTATCCCTTCGCATCCCGGCTTTCTGCAGCTTCCCCTCTTATCCGAAAAGATTGGCCAATGCGCTATTTCATCCATTCGCATGTTTTTCGATGGAATTGTTGCACTTAGTCCTCTTTATTTTTTCTGTTCTATTTGTTTATCTATCGAAGTTGAACTAGGACGCCTTCTTTTCCTACTGATTCCTTTTTCGTTCTTGATATAAATCGAAGTCGAAATCGAGTCGAATCGCACAATAAAAAAGCCTTATAGCCCTATTTCTTTGCTCCTCTGGACACGCATTGTTTTAAGCAGCACTTTCCTTTAAATGGTATTATTTCTTTATCTACGTAAGGATGTTCACCAATCGGGATGCGATTAAAATTTTTAACTAAATTGTTAACAATAGCTTTTATTTTTTGTAATTCGTCTATGTTCTCTGAATCGTTTCTGTTAGCCTCGAAATTGCTACTAAGATTTATTCTAGAGTTGTTTTCGACTTCCAAAATTATATAGCATCTTGGTCAATTATTTTATCTAAGATACAAGCGTAATTTTTTATTGACGTCTTCAACAGAATCGATTATAATAGTTTGTTTTTTGCTAGGAAATATAACATTTCTGATAGTGGATGCATGTAATTGAATCGGTTTCTGTCCTAAGAAGCTTAATCTGTCTGCGAGTACTTGATTATTTTCAGCAGTATCGTGGACCCTATATTCAAGAGTTTCACGATGGTAGTTTTCTAAATTGTTCATTGCCAGCAGATTAACAGGGACGTTAAATTCACATTCTGAACGTATGCACTTGGTATAACTACTTAGAACTAGAAAAAAAACGTAAATACATATCATACAAGAAAAGAACGACAACACATCCAAACCAGCTGGCTGCTGAAGCGAGCAAAACTCTCATAGAAAGAAAACTAAAAAGAAACTAAAAAGAAAACACCCCTTAGGAAAAAACTAGGTTAATGTTGGGAGCTGCGAGAGAAATTAAATTGCTACTTTCTTTTTTACGTCGTCCGATCGCATCGACTTCTTCATCATTAGCGATGGAATTGTCACTGTTTTGAATTAAGTTTTGTAACATACGTATCGAAGTCTCTGAGCAATTTCATTGTTCTCCACGTAGTCGTTGGATGTTGGTTGTTTGTTGTTCGAGTTTGAAGCCCGAGATAGTTGCGTTTGTCTGAGAAAAGGAAATAACTTGACTAGCGTTGGTATGTCTTCATATTTCAGTTGCTTTTTTTTATGTTATTTATTAAAATTACAATCAATTCTCGCGTTGAGAATTTTCAGTAATTTTTCTGGCGTGGCTGTTTATTTATAATAAGTTAATGCTTATTATGGATAAGTATAATTTATAAGTATTATAAGTAAGAGCATATGCTTAATTTGGATAACTAAATGAATC